TGTTGTGATCACTGGAAAGATCTGTGGAAGGAGGTATAGAGGAAGACAATGAGACAAGATGGGTTGAACAAGGTTTCTGTGAACTTTCCCGTGTGATCCTAATCCGAATGGTTGCCCCTTGTGTCACTGGGTGTTTACCGCCCAATATGAAGTCCTTTTGAGGTTGCGCTTCATCATCATCGCACATAGATGTGTTGATTAAAGAGGTAGTAGTAGTAGTAGTAGTAGTAGTAGTAGTAGTAGTAGTAGTAGTAGTAGTAGTAGTAGTAGTAGTAGTAGTAGTAGTAGTAGTAGTAGTAGTAGTAGTAGTAGTAGTAGTAGTAGTAGTAGTAGTAGTAGTAGTAGTAGTAGCAGCAGCAGCAGCAGTAGCATCAGCAACAACATCGGCAGCAGCATCAATAGCTGCAGCAATACTGGTCGTAATTTATAAGTGTAAATACTATGTATAATTATAAAGGATGATAAGTATATAAATTATAAATGTTATATATAACATACAATAATTGTGCTATGCAAATTTATGTTATAATCGGATTGTTTTATCTGTGTCTGGGCATATTTAAAGTGACTGAGATTATTATTACATAAAAAAAAAAATTATTACACTTTAGGTAAATTTGTGTATTTAATATTACACAGACTTGTCTGCGTTCTTAAATGCACGACCATTTGGAAAATTTTATTTGTTTTAATGTTTATCAATCTCTATTAGAACAAAGATATGTGTCAAGTGGGACATGAATGGTACAGCGTTGTTGCTGATATTAGATATACAGTTGTGTTAGGTCACTCAAAATCAATGGATCGCTCATTATAATGAGTCCTTTGTATAATTATGCTGTTTAATTGTGCCTGCTAGGGTGTTAGGGTCGTTTGACGATGCTTAGGTTAAAATGGAACGCTCAGTTGTGAGTCACTGGTATGTAGTATACTGTTTTGTTTAGTTGTTTAAGGGTAATTCGATGTTGTCAGTAGTTCAGTTATAGTTGTGTCTGTGTGTGTGTGTGGCTTTAAGGGTTATTCGATGTTGTCAGCAGTTCAGTTATAGTTGTGTGTGTGTGTGTGGCTTTAAGGGTAATTCGATGTTGTCAGCAGTTCAGTTATAGTTGTGTGTGTGTGTGCATGGGTTTTAAGGGTTATTTGATGTTGTCAGCAGTTCAGTTATAGTTGTGTGTGTGTGTGGCTTTTAAGGGTTGTTCGATGTTGTCAGTAGTTCAGTTATATTGTTTCGTTCCTGGTAATAAATAGGTTGTTGTTCACTCACTGCAGTGAAATGGCTTTTATGGGGAATGCAAAGAATTTCATGGAATGATTAGAGAAACAAACGAGACAGTCCCCATCGAGACAGTCCCTATCGAGACAGTCCCCATCGAGACAGTCCCCATCGAGACAGTCCCCATCGAGACAGTCTCCATCGAGACAGTCCCCATCGAGACAGTCCCCATCCTGACAGTCCCCATCGAGACAGTCCCCATCGAGACAGTCCCCATCGAGACAGTCCCCATCGAGACAGTCCCCATCGAGAAAGATCAAAGTCGTAAACTGATTTGAAAAATTAGTCGTAGGCAGTCGACAAGCAATAAGAAGCATCGAACTGAAGAAATTGGTAGTTGTAAGTCCTTACGTCCTTTTCAGGACGTAATTTTCTGTTATTTGAAGCAACACTCTGGCTTTTGCAGGCCATAAAAATGGCCAAATGTTTGAACGCGGTTTCTGGGACCTCTCCACGGTGATCCTCATCCACATGGTGGCACGTTGTGTAATCGGGTGTTTATCGCTTGTGTGATGTCCTAGTGGGGTAGAAAGTCACTCACTCAGAAATTGGTAGCAATTAGCAAATTTTTGAATGAGAGCAAAGCGAAGGCAGAGAGATAAATACCTGATTAGCTTGGTCAATACTGAGGGGGGAGGAGGGGGGCAATAACAATGACCTGATTCGTGATTTTGGTGATCGTATGAGATAGCAAAACATGATAGATAAAGCTTATCAGCACGTCACATGGTGATGACGTTAATTTGACGTGTCGATTTCATAGCTGTCGCTCTGTTGTTTATCATTTGTTTGTTTTGTTTCATTAATTACAGTGGTTCGTTTAGTTTTTAAGGTCGTTCACCAGTAGTAGTAGTTTACCACACCAGGACATCACATAAGCGACAAACACCCGATGACACAAAGTGCCACCATGTGGATGAGGATCACCCATGGAGAGGTCCCAGAAACCGCCCTGGCAAGAGCCAGAGGAGGGCTTTAAATAACGAAAAATTGCATCTTACAAGGAGATGACAATGGCAATGTATTTTTAAACAATTAACCTGAGGTGGTTCACTATAATCAGTAGTTGACTTATTGCAGGTCACACTCAGTTTATTTGTGGAGTCAATTCATAATGACTCGCTCAGGTTTTGTCCTTTCTTATATAATATATAATTCTTTTGTTGTGCTAATTTCTTATGGGTCGTTCATTACAGTCGATAGTTCATTTATAGTAGATCGCTCAGTTTTATTACGGGGTTATTATTATTTATTATGAAATTGATGTATGACAAGCTAGATGTTGTGAGGATCCTTTGTGAGGTGTGAACAGTGCGGAGGTACACATATATCATTTACGGTCTGAGGTAATGCGGGGAATTACCAGGGGATCTGGCCGATGCTCAAGGGAAAGACCAGACGGATGTACAGACAGTTAACTAGTACCATCGTAATTGGAACTCTTTGTTTGCTGCTGAAGATGGGGATGGAGCGCTTATGGGAGTGTTCCAGCCCTATGATGTGGATTTTTATTTCAACATTCAACAATATGGATCATCTGTCTGTAGTCTGTAATTCAGTTTAGTGGGCTGCTAAATTTATCGGTGTTTTAGTTGTGGAGCGTAAATCATGTAAAACAGACAGCTATGATGTTACGTGTCGTTCATTTGTAATGAGTCGTTCAACATGTTCAGTGTGGTCCAGTTATAGTGTTTCAATCTAGAAAATATTGTTGAGTGGTTTGTCTTTTCTTCCAAATTTGTAATTCTCTTCTAGACAGCCACTTAGTTTTTATTGTATCGTTCACCGTATTCATGTAGTTGCGCGAACATATGTCACTAAATTTTTATGGTTCGTTTATTGCAGTCAGTCATTCAGTTATATATAGAGTTATCTGATGTGAATCGTGGACTATTTCCAAGTTCTTAAGAAAGAGAATAGGGGCTTGTGAGCTGAAATGCTATAAAAAGATTCTCAGAATATCTTAGACAAAGAAGAAATACTGACATCTTGACAGATCTGAACATCAAGGAAGACTGACTAATAAACAGCATCTTGTCTCGAAAGATTAAATAATTTGGCAAATCAACGGATTGGAATTTAAAACAAGCAGAAGGCATGGTACCATGAAGGAGGGGCAGAGGCTGACCAACAAAAATATGGACACAGCATAAAAGTGGTAACTCCTTGAGTATGAAAGTACATGAGGCGGGAGAGCTGGCGAGAAACCGTGTTTCATTCAGGCAGACCGTGATGAGAGCGACGTTCTGCAAAGGACCTGCTACATGATGATGATAGAGTTATGTATAGTTAGTCGCCAAGTTGTTATGAGTCATTTAATTGTAATCTGTAGTTCAGTAAAAGTAGGTCTTTTAGTTGTGGTCTTTTCTTTGTAGTGTGTGATTCTGTTGTATTGGGGTGCTCAATTCGTATTGGCACTTCACTGCAATGAGTTGTACAGGTATTGCATATCGCACAATTTTTATGTGTAGTTTATTGGCGTCAGTAGTTCATTTATAGTTGTAGGTCGCTTGGTTGTTATTTGTCAAATAATTGTAGTGTTCGTTCCGTTACATTTTTTCTAAATTTTAGTGTGGTTCATTTGTAGTGTGTTATTTAGTTATAATTGATTGAACACTTAATTTAATCTAGTTCAATTACACGGTGTTGTTCAATTATTGTTTGTTGCTAAGTAATTTTAGTGTAGTTCAGTTATAATGTGTTGCTCAGTTATAGTGGATTGGTCAGTAATTTTAGTGTAGTTCACCTCTAATGCGTTGCTCGGTTATAGTGGATGGGTCAACCATTTCCAAAACCAGGATGGGATCCCTTGCAGCTCAGCAGTTATAGAATCATAACTCTCCAAAATGTGTATGGCAAACTGCTGGAAGAAACTGTGGCGAAGAAAGTGATGTTACACTTAGAAAGAATAGGCATGCTACCGGACACCATGGGCAGCTACAGGCCATCAAAAGCGATTTGGGTCAATGCTGGAATGTTCGTATATGATGTGTATGAAGGATTTCAGCGAAAGCAAGATACGGTCGCTGTCGCGATAGATCTTGAAGATGTCTATAACAGCTTTGACTTTACAAATCTTGTGCAGTGCTCGATGGACTGTGTTTTGAACCCTTAGTTAGCTAGTTGAATGGGGGCAGCATTGTTGGATAGAACAGTGGTATTTTGTTTGAGAACATGGAGATCAGATCCAATACGTGTTTGCCCAGGCCTTCCTTGGGGATTACAACCGTCACCTGTTTTCTTTAATACATATATACAGCAAGTCCGGCAAAAATTAAGCACACTGGACCAGGGCGAACTTTGGCATTTGCAGATGATGTCCTAATATATCGAAGCGGGTCAGACAGGCACGACATGACCAGAGACTTGCAAAGTGCTTTGCATGAGATGACGGAGTGGCGTGAGCAGACAAGGTCAAGGGTAAATCCACACCTTACGTCACTTGCTGCGGGGGACGGAGCATCTATGGGTATGCCCGCTGTGTTATGATGTCGATTCTTAAATCAGTAAATCAGTAAAGTTGATAAGTCAATAATTTTCGTTTAGTTATAATGTGTTGTTCAGATTTAGCGAGTGGCTCAGTAAATTTAGTGTAGTTGTTATAATGTGTTAAGTTATAGTGGTTGTCTCAGTTATTTTAATGTGGTTCGCTATTAATGTATAGTTCAATATTAGAAAAAACGCTCAACTGTACCGAGTTCTAAATCGGGCGTCTGTCAAGGCTAGCTTATGGTCCTGCGCATTCATCGGTATAAGGGTTCCGAGGAGAGTAGGAAACAGGTTGGTAATAAATGATGCGGCCGTTGGAGCCCAGGCCTCTGGCTTCCTGGATTGTTTGACCAAACACCAACGGTTGAGGAATGACCGTAATCTAGGGAAATAATCAAAAAAAAAAAAAAAAATAAATAAATAAACATTATGTTTACTGAGCAAACAAAAATTAAGATCAAGATGTATGACTTTGTTGTACGTAAAATGACGGCAAAGGGACCCTATTAACTACGTTGTCTACCATATTTAATTAAAATGTAATTTAATACAACCAGCTTCTCATGGGGACAATTAGTAAAAGTACTTTGGAGTGGCTGCTGCATCGGAGGACTGAACACGCATGGGAATGCCCAATGTGCAGTGACATCGATTGTGATAACAAAACATAACATACTATATCAACTACTTGAGACACATAAGATACATTGTAAGTGTTTCTTCTTCTTATCGTTCTTCGACTGTAAACTCTTCTTTGTCTACCCCCAGAACTAAAGTTTCTCGTGTACATCTGTTTTTACCGATCTGGCTTATTTGTATGCAGATGGTTGATTTATCACCTCTTAAACTGAGCAGTCCGACATTGAAGAAATACAACTAATTAGCCGCTTTGGACAGTATGCTTGTTGACTGAAGGAGAGCGAAGCGGATCTATTATCTCTGTTGCAACAGGTGCTTCCAACGACGTTCAAGAACCAGCCGCGTTGTGTGTAGTGGTAATTGTGAGGGCTGTCTTATTCATTTACCGGACCGTCGCCGGTGCTACCGAGTACATGCACTGCGCTGAGATTCTTCGGGCTCAAACTTGAGTTAGATAGAGGTAGACGGAGCACTAATGGGTTACTACCCTTGTGCTATCATGCTGAACAGTCGTTTAAACCGTAACCTAAGCCTTATGCATTGAATTCGTGTCTATGCTATTGGTTCTGCAGAGACTGCAGTCTGTGTCAGTTTGTTTGTTCTAAAAGGGACACTTATAGACCTTGTGTTTGATTTTCCTTGGCATCGCAACTGAGCAGGTGACCAGGTATACTATGAAGTTGTAACTGCGATTTTCTCATGCCTTAAGCAGCCACCCCGAAAGTTTGCAATTGCAACAGACTCACAGAGGATGCTTCCGAAAATTAAAATTGACATGCTGTGCACACAGTAGCTTGCATCCCTTGATTAGACACAGATCAAGGGCTCATCATGGGTTTCTGTCCCTGGACCGTGTGTGTGAGGTAACGAGCAGGTAGATTGATTAGCTGCTGCCGCTCCTCTTATTGATGATGCTGACGTGGTGAAGGCTTTCTGTGCTCAGAGGGACAATGCCATAGGGTTAGAGGGACAATGCCATAGGGTCAGAGGGACAATGTCATAGGGTCAGAGGGACAATGCCATAGGGTCAGAGGGACAATGCCATAGGGTCAGAGGGACAATGCCATAGGGTCAGAGGGACAATGCCATAGGGTCAGAGGGACAATGTTATAGGGTCAGAGGGACAATGCCATAGGGTCAGAGGGACAATGCCATAGGGTCAGAGGGACAATGCCATAGGGTCAGAGGGACAATGCCATAGGGTCAGAGGGACAATGCCATAGGGTCAGAGGGACAATAGCATAGGGTCAGAGGGACAATGTCATAGGGTCAGAGGGACAATGCCATAGAACAGAGAGAGGATACACACATTGGAAGACAAATTCAACAAAGGGTGAGATTAGGGTCTGGAAGATAGTCAACACTAAGGTGGAAACATAGGCGGACTTTTTAATCAGGTTGCAGCTGGTACAGCATGTCGAACATTCAAGAGAAGCAGTCGGGGTGAAGGTGCGAATGTCCCCAGCGCTGTGATGTCAACTCATTCATTCATTCATTCATTCATTCATTCATTCATTCATTCATTCATTCATTCATTCATTCATTCATTCATTCATTCATTCATTCATTCATTCATTCATTCATTCATTCATTTATTTATTCATACTCAGGACTTTTCTTGACGCCGTTTCAAGATTTAGTGCCACTAAAAGCCTGGGTCAATATTTTGGGTCATTTGTGAGGGTGTAAATCAAGTGGAAACAAATCCCAGATCCTCGTTCAACCGTAGACAACATTCAAGGGCGCCTCCACAAGGAAAACATTTGGGGAAAAAGAGGAATGAGGATGGTGGAGCCATCAGTACTCAGATTTCCTTCTAGGGGGCGTGCTCAATGGTCTGAAGCCTTGTTTAAATTATAAAAACTATAATTCGCTAAGTGGCAAAATGAAATATGTAAACACATGCTTAGAAAACATCTCTATATGTTTATGGTTAGACTTCCAATGGTTTGTGTATATGATAGGGAAGGGAAAGGGGGTGATTGGCTTCAGCTCTTCCCAAAATGTAAAGTAGGAGCCTCAGTGTATCTGAGCCTCTGAGCCTCTAAGTGTATCTGAGCCTCTTAATGTATCTGAGCCTGTCAATGTATTTGAGCCTCTCAATGTATCTGAGCCTCTGAGCCTCTCAGTGAATCAAAGACTTTAAGCCTCTTAATGAATCTAAGCCTCTGAACCTCTCAGTGTATCTGAGCCTTTGAAATTCTCAATGTATCTGAGCCTCGCCGGCCGATGCTTGCCGGGACTGAGTACCCACTGAGCCTCTCAATGTATTTTGAAAAAAGCCTAAGAGCGAACCTGTCAAAAAAAAAAAAAGCGTCTAGCCGCTCCGCCACAGCCACTTCCTTGCATCATATATGAATGCGACATCTTTTATAGGCACCTGATAAGACACTGCACAACATCCAGTATAAAATTCATAAAAAGACATTGTTTTTATAATGAGGCTGCAAGAGTTCTTTTCAGGACTACTTGGTGACGAGCAATGCTTAATCATTTTATATGGCGCACATAACCTAGTCATAATAATAACCTAAAGCTCCCCCATCTGGTGATGCTGGTTGAATGTTACATTTTTGGTTCACACAGCAAGCTAAGCCATGAACACCCCCTCCCCACACCCTTTCCCTTTTCCTCTTTCCCCCATAATATTGTGGACTTTACCGTGAACATCCCACGAAATCCCTGAGATGTGGAGATATAAAACAACCTTTTCTGTTTACCACTGACAGAACTATAGGTATATATTTGTGTGTATTTCGGTTAGTTGCATATCCTTTACAGGACGTTGCAGAACCAACCCCAAAAGCATCTGGCTGTTGTGCGGTTTTTCTAGGCAAATTTACGTCCAGTAGTTTGCCATTGCTTCCTGGACAGTCGGCTTTCTTGATACCAACACAAGGCACATGACCCGCAGCCAGGATCAAACCCGGCATCCCGGCATTATGAAGCGTTCTCATCGACTTAGCAGCAGAGCCGACGTGTGTGTATATGTATATATATATATATAAAGTAAAATAATCCCTAATCCCATTTCAGCTATTCCCATTTGAGAGCCCGGCGTTCTTAACAGCTCACCTAGCCACTCCTAGTTTACATATAGCACTCATCTCAATATCTATCATCGAAGACAGTAGTCGTCCCCATGTGGAATGCAATTTTTTGAAGCCCCACCCTAGCTTTTTCATGAGGCCCTAAATATAGTCCGGTCATAAATATGGCCTAACGGCTGAACGGGTTTCCAGGACCTCTCCACGGGTGATCCTCATCTGCTTGGTGCCACTTTATGCCACCGGGTGTTTATCGCTTTGTTGAGGTCTTGGTGGAGTACAACCTACAGACATACATACACCCACCTTAAAACCTGAGCTTGTGACAGAATCGTCCGTTTTGAAGACAATCGTTGATGTGCTGAGTGCTGGAAGGATGTTGGAAAACACAAAGCCAGTCAGCCAGTTGCCACAGTATGGGACCCCGTGCAAGCAGAGAGAATCGTAGCGACATAAAGCGTCGCTTTCCAGATCAAATTTCCTGGAAAATACAAATCAAACGGTCCAGGGTGTACCTGTATCTTTAAATGACTATTTGTTTTTTGAAAATATTGGTGTTCCTATTTTTGTAATCACCGTTTCTCTCTCTCTCTCTCTCTCTCTCTCTCTCTCTCTCTCTCTTTCTCTCTCTCTCTCTCTTTCTCTCTCTCTCTCTCTTATGCATACCTCTCTCTCTATCCATCTCTCTCTTGTTTTACTAAACCAGGACATCACCTTAGCAACAAATACCCGGTGACACAAAGTGCCACCATGCGGATGAGAATCACCCGTGGAGAGGTCTCAGAAACCCCTTTCAGCCGCTTGGCCATATTTATGGAACGGCTATATTCAGGGCCGCCTGCAAAAGCCAGGATGGTGCTTCAAATAACGAAAAATTGCATCCCACATGGGGACGACTGTAGTACGTAATCACCGCATGTGCAGTAATTACAACAGATACTACTATAGTGTTTCTTATTTTGGATACTATTTTCCACATGAGATCATTATTCAAGATCGCTTCTACTTGTTAAATTGCAATCAGTAACAGAAAGAGGCATTAAGGATCAGGAAAAGACATTATAAATTGTTGAACAGCCATATTCGAATACCTGCCCCCACGAAGGAACACATGCTGAGCAGAAAATCTTCTCTCTCTAATGGGAAACACCCTTATAGCTAAGATCAGTTACTAAACACGGCACATAGCAGTGATATTCTAAACTAACAGTTACATGGCGCTTGAAACATGACGTAATACACAAATTCAACTACGGCTCGCGAATAATTGATTTCGAAAAGTATACAGTCATTAAACATACACCTTCTATAATGACTATAAGAACTTCAATTAAAAATAAATATGTGAAAACTGGTAGGACATGCATGGTGTTAACTGAACTGAACTGAATTTCTACCCCACCAGGACATCACACAAGCGATAAACATCCGATGACACAAAGTGCCACCATGTGAATGAGGATCGCCGTGGAGAGGTCCCAGAAACCGCGTTTAGACATTTGGCCATATATTTGGCCTGCCTATATTGCGGCCCCTGGCAAAAGCCAGAGTGGGGCTTCAAATAACAAAAAAATTACGTCCTAAAAAGGACGTAAGGATATCTATATAGACATGCATGGTGTTAGTTTTCAGGGACGTTCTGTACATCAAATACAATAATACCCCGTTATAACACAAACACGCCTTTGAAGAAAACATGATTAACACGAAAAAAAAAAAAAAAAAAGGAAAAAGACCGGGTTTTATATTAAATTTTGTTTTAAAAGACACGGTAAGGCTTATTTTAGAGTGAATTTTTTCAAAAAAAAAAAAAAAAAACTAAATTCATTCATGTTCAAAGGTCTACATGTATTCAAATGCAGTTATGTCCCCTTCTTCTGGAACATCCTCTTAACTCTCCGAATCCTGAATTCCAGACTAGATAATTTTTTTTTGCGGCTCCATTTCTTGTAGAACCTTTGGCCACATTTTAGCTGACGATCTTAACGGGGAACTATTTTGGAGTAGGGCTTATATTAAAAGCATCTTGAAAATTCCTACTAGGGCCTTTTTGTGAGTGTGTGTGGCAGTTTTTTTTTTTTCTTGGAAACGCAGTATTATCAGTTAAACAGTTTTTTTTTATACTTTCGATTGACAATCATTTAAAACTCAATATTTCAAGGCACTATGAACATTCATACTGAGTTACTGAGAAAGGTGAAGACAGGGATGCTTCGAGCAGAGTGGCAAGCTTCACTTGTAGGGTCACGGTTAGTGAGCATACTTTGGATGTTTTCTCTAGTTAATGCAGGCGTAGTGGGTAAAGAACAGACTGACGGATTGGCTGGATCTGCTTCACTGGGTACCTAATTGATATATGACAAGGCAGATACGGCCAATGCCCCTTTTAAGCAAACAACGGAATCAGTAGAAAAACAAAATTATTATGGCCTGGAGAGAATGAGGCACCTGTGTGTAACCAGGCGGTCTAGCCGGCTCACTTCACTCAGAGGAAAGGCAAGACGGACAGATAACCAGATTGTGACCGGTACCATGAGTACTAGAACTCTGCGCTGGCTGATGAAGATGAAGAAGGAGAACGCATGGAAATTCCCCAAGTGCGGTGATCTCAATTCTTGACTCAGCTCAACTCACTCAACTCAACAATGATTTACAGATTTTTAAAGTTCGCATGACTTCTGAACCTGACTCTCAGCGTTCCTGCTCTGACAACATACATCAAGACTTACACGAAAAAGAACAGCAAAGCCAGCGGCTCCGGTCCAGATCTTAGAACAAGTGAACAGTTGAGGTTGCTCTGATATTCAGTGATCCCGAAGTTTGGAGTTTTGATATTGAAAGGTGTCGTGTTTGGGGTGACTGCTAAGGAAGTTGGGGTGGTCTGATAACATAGTTCGTAGTCTTGGAATCCCTGAGGAATAGAAAGTAATGATAAGTAAGCGAAGGAACAAACAAACGAACACACGTCTATTTTATTAAAGGTAGGAAATGGGCGTTAGTGGCTACAGCCTTGGCGTTGCGAAAGATCCACGTTTAGTCCGTGGTGTCTGTTCGATCCCAGCTGCAGACGATTTGGCAACAGACCGCATATTTTGGCTTTGACAGTGTTTTTGAGAGCCAACTGTTGACAATGCAATGTTAAACTGCATCTGCAGTTTATTTCCCAAAGGGCATATGCCCTAAATCAACTTACGCCAAGTCGTTTTATTCTTCGCTATTGCATGCAGCTCTTTCCATGTCTTCCCCGTGTTTTTAAATTTATTCTCTAGATTCCTTCTCTCTCTCTCTCTCTCTCTCTCTCTCTCTCTCTCTCTCTCTCTCTCTCTCTGTCTCTCTCTGTGTGTGTGTGTGTGTTTTCTTGTGCTTTTTTTTCTATGTCCCTATGGTTACCAGCAAAAACATTCTAGTTATTTGTTCAAGTTTTCTCAACAAATGTCCTATCCATATGCAGCGTCTTTTCTTCACCTCTTGGTCCACTGGAACTTATTTAGCTCTCCCCCAAAGCTCAACGTTAGTAATTCTATCAGACCATTAAATTCCCCTTTTTTCTCAGATCTAGTCACACACGCCCGTTTAACATTTGTGTACCTTCTTTCATTCAGTTATCATTTACACGTGTGGCCTCCAACTTCGGAAGACAGGGAGAAGGGGTTCGCAACCATATAGGGTGTGTGCGGAAGTTCCAAAAGGGTTGAGTGTGGGGGTAAAGCTATTTTAAAAATGAGTGCATTTGTATTAATCCGTTTCACTGACACTTTTTTTCTTATTTAGTTTAATTATAAATAAAAAATAAATTTTAAAACTGTTTATAAAACAACAAGCAAGGGATGTTTTTGGTTTCATGAGTAGTGTCTACATCTTATGTTATAAATCTGAACGATAACCTATTTAAAAACACATTCTTGTTTTTAAAACCCATTTTTTTTTATGGGGGGCAGCGGGGGGGGGGGGGGGGGGGGGCCTACCTCTATGGAGGGCCCCCGAAAAAATCCGCAGAACCCCNAAAACAAATTTTGGTTTAAATAAAAATGACCTTGATTTCCAAAAAGTGTCTTTTTGTTAAAAAGGGGGAATTTTATGCCCCTGCTTTTCAGGTCTCCACAGTACATTGTGGCAAGCAGGAAGCCCGTGCAAGACGGCAGGGAATATTTTGGGGGCCGGGTAGTAAGCTGGGGGCGAACTTTGTTGACAAATTGTGTATGATTATTGGTATCATAATTTTTTGGAGAAGTTTGTATAGGACCAGTGTCATTTACGTTTAGCATAGATATATTTGTTAAAATCTTTAGTAGATAGGATCTTATAATTATTTATTATATCTATTTATTTAATTTATAGATAATTATTTAATTCATAGGTAATTATTTAATTAAAATTATTTAATACTAGTAATTAATTAATTCATAGGTTATCTTTAATTAAAACTATTTAGTACTATTTATTTAATTTAATTTCACAGGTAATTATGTAAATAAAATTTATTTAGTATATTTATTTAATTAGATTGAAGGTGAAATAATTAATGAGATTTATAAAATTTAATAATTTATTATTACAATTAGTTAGAGTTTACTTAGGAAATTTAATATTTATTTATTTATTTTATTGTGAATTATTTACTTGAATAATTCTAGGGTGATATTTTATTGATTGAGTTATCATTACAGTAGTCCTACTTTACATATCTTATAGTGACAGCGGTTCCCAAAATCTACAGTTACAGCTACATCTAGACAAGGTAGTTAAGCTTAGTCTATAAAGGGTAAAATTTGATTTGTAGATTTAGTATATAATAACATTAACTAATCCCTAAGTCGGTAGTTAGCGACTTAGTTTTATTATTTGTTATTTGAATTTGGTTAAATTCAATTGTTATTGTGTCATCATTGTTGAGTGTGATAGAGTATATTTGTAGATCAAAAGAAGGAGTAGCAGGAAATCTTGATCATCCTTATTCAAGAATGTCGGGAATGGCAGAACTGGTTGCGATCGGGAAGGAGTTAGGATTACAAGGCGAGGAGCTAAGGAAATTTGTGGACCAAAAGTATAAAGAAATGAAGAGCAGTGAGAGAGGCAGCAGAGAGATAGAGAAGGAGAAGATAAGAGCGGAACAAGAGAAAGAGAGAAGGACAAGATAAAAGCAGAAGAGGAAAGAAACGAGAGGAGACTTTCGAGAGAACATGAGCTCCGTGTCAAAGAACAAGAGGGAATAGTCAAAGAGAAAGAGTTACTACTTCAGAAAGAGACAAAAGACAGAGAGTTACTTCTGCATAAGGAACTAAAAGAGCGTGAATTAGCTCAACAGAAAGAAAATAAAGATAAAGAATTAGCTCAACAAAAAGAGATGGAAGAGAAAAGGTTACAACTGGAACAAGAGAGGTTGGCGGCACAGATTAATTCAGACAAAGAGAAAGCAGAGACACAGTTAAAAAGACAAGAAATGGAAAACACGCCGAGGAAAAGAGGTTTAAGAAATACACT